ATTCGAACTTGAGAATAGAGCAAAGGGAGGGCCACATCCTATTCAAAATCGTACACCATGTTAATCGAAGCCAACATAGTACTATTGCCATTGGTTACGCACTTTAAAGCTCTTCGACATCAACATCAATTTCCAAAGCGTATCCCGACCTCCTTTCATACCCGCTAAGTGTTGGAATATATTGATCCATATTTCCGACGGTAGGATAATGGATTTGGGAGCCGGAAGTAGAGGTAAGAGAAGGAGCTTTCCTGCACTTGTCTCTAAGGGTCGAGGGCTCAGCAATGAGGTACGACTCGACATGATGGGAATAAAAGTTGCAGGGCGGACTCGAATTGGTAAGTCCTTTTTATAACATCAGAGCTGTTGATGATGACTGTGTCATTTGCGTGCATGAGGTTAGGTAGTAAATACCCACACCCGAAGCCTCCGAATTGAGTTCGCGATGTAAGCACGGGTGATGGGAGTATCATGACAGGAATCAGAATCAATTTCAAATAGGGTATTATCGTCCGAGTACGCTCCGCCTTTGTTCCTCAGTGAGTAAGTTACTCACTCAGGACTGCGGCACTAAATGATAACTATGAAGAAGGTCCTAATATATCTCCAATCTCCTCCATAAACTTGTCATAATCATCCTTCTTCCTTGGTTTTGCCTCGTCGACCTTCATTTTCTTGCCGGGATTTTCCGCCGGTTTCCCAAACTGGTTCTGGATTGTACTCAACAAGTCGGGACGAACAGGGCCTTCAGCGGGCGTCTCCGTACTATCTCCATCTCCATCTGCAGCCTCGACCCCAGGGGCAGCATTCACTCTGGAAGTTCCTGCGGCCCGCTTTCGTTTCAAAGCCGTGGGTACGAAAGCGGTTGCCTCCTTCTTGAAGTCCCTTAGCTCAGGCGCTGCGGAGACGGTGGCTGAGGATGACGGTATACTTTGCGTTTGCGCAGATCCACTGGGGTCGGTATTGGGTCTGGCAGGTAATGAAGGGTGCGGTGACAGTTTACTCGCACGACGTGCTTGATATGTTTGGTGAGGAACAGAAGAAAGAGGATCTTGTATCGCAGATCCAGACATTTGCCGCGGATAGAAGCCTGGAGGCGCCTGTGGCTGGAATCCCGGAGGGGGTACCGGGTGGTTGAAACCAGATGGGAGAGGCGGAGGGAAAGGAGGGAAACCTGACGGAACGCCTGGTGGCGGAGGTGGCACACCCATGGGAAAACCAGGAGGTGGTGGTGGCATACCAGTATTGGGAAACCCAGACGGGGGTGGCGGAATGCCTGCTGGAAAGCCAGGCGGAGGCATCGGAATCCCGGGTACTAATCCAGGACCTGTAGTGGGTGGAACAGGAGGCAGAGGCGGGAATGATTGTCGGCCATCGTCAGGCGGAAGAGGAATGTCTTCATCATCTGTTTACGCTCGTGTGAGAAGGTAATACGATTGTATGGCAATGAACTTCAATACCTTGTACAGCTTCCTCTCCCGGGGGTAGGCCCTCAGGCATGGGTATATCGTCGTCGTCATTCACCAGCTCTTCGGACTCTGGAATACCTGGAGGAGGACCTTCAGGCATAGGAATGTCATCATCTGGAGAAAGGAAGTCAGCAAGGGGACCAGTTGTACAATAAGACCAGCACGCACCATCTCCTTCACTTTCTTCTGCTTCGGAATCGACTTCCCCTGGTAATAGGGCTGAAAGAACGTATCAATTCGGCTGAACAGGTTTGTGAACACGATAGATAACTCACGTCTCTCCATGTAAGGCATTCCCGGGGGTGCGACGCCGTAAGGATTCATGACCGGATCGTAATAGATACTTCGTTCCGGGTGCCTAGGAAGCCCGTTTTTCTTGAATAGGTTCCTCTTCTTTGGAATGACGACCTCCTCCTGGGTTTTCTCGCCGTCATTCTTGTCCCTACGTCCTTTGAAGACCATCCGTCGTTGTTCCGGATGTTCCTTGACATATTCCTCCTTCTTGTTGTTGATGTTTTCTAGTTCAGACTTGAGACTTTTTAACCGGTTTGCTTCATCTGCAGTAGGCTTCTCCAATCCCTCGAGCTTTTCGATCTCATCCTGGAGGTCTGTGACGCATTAAGGTAGCTCAAGATCTTTGAGAACAGACATACCAGATGTATCCTTTTTCACAAGAGCGAAGTCCCTGGCTTTCGAGCGCTCTGCTTTATTCTACTGCAGGACCGCGTATGAGCTTTGAATACGGCACAAAAGCAACGTGTTGCTCGCCTTCTTGATCTCCTTCTTCCTCTGCGCCTTTCCTAAATATGATTAGCGACAACAACTTGCTATTTCTGCAGAAGAACTGACTATAAGCGTCTGCTGGGTTGACACTTTTACCCTTGGCCATGGATCGTGAGGGAGAGAGCGGGACCGCGCACGTGTCAAGAGTTATACGGAGCAAAACAGAGTCATGACATAGCTTGACTTTGGCGGTCGCCCTTCCCACCGGTAGGGCTCCCCGACGTCGTCCTCGACGTCTAGTACTCCGTCTTCAACTTCTCTCAGCGTTCCTAACATCGAGCTCTCTTGCTCATCACTGTCTTCGTCGATGGCAACGACCCCGACCGCCAATGCTACGTCTCCGAAGCGTCCGGCGAAAATGGCTTCAACTCAGTCCTTGAACCATCTTCTCAACTTCACTCTCCCTCCTAGACAGTCTCAGCCTCCTCAAAGCATCCCTAGAAGGAGCAGGAAGACGAATAACCAGTTTGGGGTGTGGAACAAGGAACGTGAGTAACCATGTTCATATGTATCTCCTGGCTTCATATTCAGCTATCTCTGACCCTCGATATCATGAAGGATTCGTCAATGCACAATACCGGTTCGTAATGAACCCAATGGGAGACTATACCGTGCATTTCGCGGACCCTGATATGCCAGTTCATTCAAGTTATCTGTTACGATCTCACACTCACTTGAACTCCTAACAGATACTTCCAGTGGAACGATATCTTGCAGGTCATCATCCCCCGCACTTCAGCGCTGGCGTCGGCTGCGGCAAATCAAGACTCTGAAGGACACACAGCGTGTCCTATCTGCCTTTCACCTCCGACGGCACCCAGGATGACCAAGTGTGGACACGTTCGTACGCTTTCTTTACCTGTATCCGGCCCTAAATTAACAGAGGACACCGAATCCAGATATACTGTTTCCCATGCATCCTCCATTATCTCGGGACCTCAGAGAATAAGTGGGCCCGATGCCCAATTTGCTTCGACTCTGTGACTTCAGCTCAGCTCAAGAGCGTGAAATGGTTCGACGGCCCTACGGACCGCGATGATATGCACCCGCCGTCATCGGCAGCGTCCTCGAGCTCAGCTTCCAACGCTCCCTTCGATTCATCCCCCCGAGTAGGCGGTACATTATCCATGCGGCTCATCCAACGTCCACAAATCACGACGCTTGCTCTTCCTCGATCCCATACATGGCCCTCGGATCTGCTCCCGCCTCACCAAGCCCCGTTCCATTTCCTTCCCGACGTGTATAACTACGCTAAATTCATGCTCGCTACCCCTGCTATGCTCGTGTCTGATTTGACGAAAGACCTCGACGACCTAGCCGTCGAACGACGTCTACTTGGTGGCATGAACGACGACCTCGGTGTGTCGTTCATCGACGCGGCTGAGGCCAAAGTGCGCAACCAGATCATCAAAGCTACCGCTTTGGACACACCTGGCCTTCAGGAGAGGATCGAGAAGTCCAATCGAGATCACCGTGAAATTGAAGGCCGTTTCACGTATCGCGAACAACGTAGGCTCGAAGAGGAAGCCAAAGTTCAAGCTGTCGTCAACCCCGAGACTTTCTATGTAGAAGACGTTCCCCAGGAGATGCTGTCGCTCAAGTTTGGTACCATAACACCTACGCTACCTACCGCCCCACCCACACCGGTTGCCCCATCCCCCGATTCGAGGCGTAACAACACAATAAATCGCAATAATTATAATTCTCGCGCCACCCCAAAACAGCGGCGTAACGTGAATCCTCCCCCTCCTACCACCTCCACGTACTATTATTATCAAGCGTCCTCTGGGCTTCCGCTCTACCTTCATCCACTTGACATTCGGATTCTTCTTGCTCACTTTAGCAACTATGCCTCTTTCCCGGATAACATCACTATCCGTATTGAAGCATTATCCGAGGGCACAGTTAACGATGACCTGCGCAAGCGGTGCAAATATCTCGCCCACATGCCCGAAGGAGCCGACGTAGTATTCGTCGAAGCTGATCTTCACAACGTGGTCGGTAAAGAGGGGTTGAAGAACTTTGAAGGGGCACTTCGGCTTCGGAAAGCTAAGCGACGGGATAAGGGGCGGAAAGACGAGAAGGCCAGGGCGAGGGCTGAGGAGAGGGAGAAGGAGAAACGGGATTATGAGGCTGCGGTTGAGTGGAGGTTTACGCCGTCGGCTATGTCGACGGAGTTTGTGAGTAGAGAGGATGATTCGGTGATTTTTATGGATGGGGCTTCGTTCCCTGGGTTTGAGGAGGCTGCTTTGGCGGTACCTGCTACCGCTGAGGTTCAGCAGCAGCAGCCGGAAGAGCAGAGAACGGCTGGTGTGTGGGGAGCGAAGAGTTTTGCTTCGGCGTTGCATTCGAACACGCCACCGCAGTCGAGGAATGCGGGGAGTGCGTCCAGATCACGACAGCAGACGGAGGAAGATGAGTGGGACATGGATATCGCATGGCATGAACTCGAGCAGAGAAGTAATGGCGGTAACGGCGGTAGAAAGAAGAAGAGCAACAAGCTTGTCGTCCTGGGAGGGGGCGGGGGAAGGAGACGTTAAGCGTTGAATGCAACCTCTAGAAGATATTCCTCGGTTTGCTCTTGGCGTTACAGTAACATTTATTGAATCACTGACTTAGCATCCAAACTTGTATACAAATCAAACATGGGTAACTCGAATTTGCAAGCATCTGTAGCAGTATCTGATAATTGATCGTCGGCAGACCTGGGTGGTGCTGAGATATACGGGCTCTTCAAATACTACGGACTCCGTTATGGTGTAGTGGCTAACATTATCGCCTCTCATCCAGCTCTGCGCATTGCTCCCAGATTGAGTGCGCGATAGCCCAGGGTTCGATTCCCTGTAACGGAAACCGTTTTTGAAGCTATTTCTCCCATCATATAATTTCCCAGAACTGGTTACCTTCCCATGCGATCATTTAGGTCTCAACGTCAGACATCGTAGTCCCAATCCTCCAGCCATGGAAGTAGTCAAACGAACGTAGACAGTCCTCTCATTACACGGTCAACACTACTCCTGAAGTATTCATTGTCTATGCCATGCGTTTTGGAGTCCATGGTCACCAGAGGGTTGCGTACGACGTATTCGAGGAAGGGTCCAACATAGATTCCACGTAGAGCTAAGCGTAATCCCGCAGGATCAGCAGCAGGGTCGCTGAGAATAACGAATTTGTAGCCCGAGACGGTTTCAAAAAGATGAAGTTTGTATGAAGACGTCCTGTAGTTGACGAATTGTTCATCTCTATAGCATACAATGTGAGTAGAGGTCGGAAATAGCTGGGTGAATGTGCGGATTGACTCACCTTCCCGATATCTTCTTGATCATATTCCGCAGCGAAAGAACCACACCGTATACGAGCTTCGCCTCCTCATCAAACGAAAGACCTGTGCTTGTTAAACCATCTGCTCCCGCGACCGGTGAAGTTGGAGTCTGGAGTAATGGAGAAGGTGTTGAATTGGCGTTTATATCGTTCACAGCCACGACTACACCACTGGACGACGTGAGCGTGTTTCTGGGACTGCTGAACGTGGCGATGGAGGGCTCCGTAGAGTTGGGATTAGGCTGTGATACAGCTTGAGAGACTGCAGGCAATAGAGTTCCTTCTACTGCAGGTTTTGGACGACGTGTACGATGCCAGTCTTGATAGTAAACGCAAGTACAGTGCCTGCGAGTATAATTGAGTAAATTTGAGCTAATATGGGCATTCTAGGAGCACTTGCCGATCGAAAATATAAAAGCTGTGGATGGTCATGTTGTGGGAGAAGAGATTCCAGAGAACGTGCCCGGTGCCGTCAAAGCGCGCAGCGTATCTAGGCTCCCACGCCCGTGTTGACCAGGTCTACCCATCCTATTCAGTGTTTGACAGGCGCAGCATCACCATGTCTATAAAAAAACTTGTGGCTCCTGGTGCCTGTCAAACAGTCCTTGTTACTCTCCAGCGCCATGATTATCTGGACCTACCGGTACCTCAGGCGAAAATTCTCCAAGTCCAAAGACTCGACGGGGACGGCGGCGGAATCCACCCCTTCATCAAAACCGGAAAAGCCCAAGAGGAAGACCAGTCCTGAAGAATGGAAGTTCCTAGCCAAACTGACCCTCTCTCTTGCTGTTCCTATCTTCCTAGAGACTTTGGATTACACGGGTAAGTATTGTCTGTCTTGAAGGACGCGTGTTCTGACTTGTAGAAACACCTCAATTAGTTGTTGCAACCGCTCAAACTAACATTGCTGTATGTCTTCCATCGCCAATGAGAAGGGGTCTTGCTCTTAACTTATCGTGACCAGTCCGCGTTCGACCGACTCGACCTTCAAAGGTGCGAGTAGCCTCAGGTCTCAGTCTTGTTCGTTTGAAGCCAAATCTCAACAGCTACATCGGCACCCTGTACCTTCTCACCTCGACTGTTTTCCTCCCACTTTTTGCATCAGTGGCCGACATATACGGGCGGCACTTTGCTATGCAGTCGTCCCTCGTGTTCTTTATTTTTGGGAGCGCGTTGAGCACTGGTGCTAAAAATATGGAGATGATGTTGGCAGGGCGTGCCATTGCAGGGATAGGTGCCGCCGGATTGCTCACAGTAAGTCTCTGTACCCGAGCCCCACAAAGACAGGGTTGTTGAAACCATACCCAATCAGGTCGTACGAGTAATCTTGTCAGACTCTGGGTCCCTCAGCACCATCAACTGGCAGATAGCCATACTATTCCTGTTGTATTCTATCGGGTATAGTGTTGGTCCTGTCATCGGTGGGTATCTAGGTCACATCTCATTTCGCTGGATTTTCGCAATCAAGTAAGCCTCGTACTATCTCTCCTTGTTCGTCTTCATTGACACGAAATCGCGTTAGTCTTCCAGCATGTGTCGTGTCGATGCTACTGCTATTTTTCCTTCTGAGGAAGCACCTGAAAAAAGGCTTTGTCCTTGAATCAGAGCTTCCCGCCGGACAAGCTCATCCATCGTTCACGACAAAGTTTCTCAAGGTCGACTGGATTGGCGCATTCTTCTTCATCGCCGGAGCTATTCTCATCCTCCTCGGATTAAACTGGGGCTCAACGGAGAAGTGGAACAGTCCCAAGGTCATCGTATGCTTCGTTATAGGTGGGATCCTAATTTTGCCTTGCGCGATATGGGAATACGTCTTGGAGAAGCAAAAGGACAGGGTCACGCCAAGCAGCAAGGCTCGGGCTTCAGTATTATCGGCTTACCCCATGATTCCCCTCGAAATCTTCCGGAACTACGACGTTGTGACTGTCCAGGCCGCCTCGTTTGCCGGAGGCATGGTGATGATTGTTATGTTCTATTTTGTGGCGATATTCATGACGATCGTGAATGGACTGGACCAACGCCAGGCGGGCATACAGCTGATTTACTTTGCGCCCGGCAGCGGCGTGGGGACGTTCATAGCCCTGAGGATGACATCCATTCTCAGACAGGTTAGTTTGTTGGAGCCTGGCAGTGGACGCGAATGCTGATTGTTCCATTCTCCTTTCATCCAGCCCAAATATGCAATCATCATTGGCAGTCTTATCATACCAATATCTCTGGGTCTCATCTCTTTGGGTGTCCAACAAGGCAAACAAGTCTTAGTGAACGTGTAGGTTGCCCCAATGTGACACTTCCAAGTACGTTGACTCATCGAGAACCTCTTACAGGTTTCTCGCGCTCTCCGGTGTTGGCGTCGGAATGAACATCGGTACGCTAAACATCCACGCTCGATTTTCACAGCCCGAAGAACGTGTTGCGATCGTCTCGGCTTTGATGCTATTTGTGAGTAAAATGGTAGCCTTGACCAGCCATAAGTTCACTGTCCTCAATGCATTCACTGCCTACAGTTCCGTTCGTTCGGTGGCATGCTTGGCCTCGCGCAGTGCGGTGCCGTTCTAAACACCCGTGCCAGGTCGTACATTGCGCGTGCCGTTGCTGAGGGCCGCTTCTCTTCCAATATCACTTCTGGTGCCGGACTTCAGTTCACCGGCAGACTGGGTTCTGTGGGGCAGATAGCAGAACTCCCCGAAGATGTCCAGGTGGTGATCAGAGAGGCATTCAGGGATGGTGTTAGGTGGTGCTTCATTTCGCTGGTGCCTTGGGCTGCGATTGCTTTCGTCCTCACGGTATTCCTTTCTGACATTCCCGATGCGGATAAGAGGAAACGACGGGAAGAAGAGTCCGAAAAACCGGCAGAGGCTCGAGACGAGGTGCAGGAGATTCCCCGCGATTACAAAGAGAATGAGAAGGGGGAAGTTGAGGCCCAGGCTGAGATGCGACTATCGTAGGATTGGGCTGGGTTCGGAGCGGTGTTTGATAGGTTTTGTTTCGTGCTGCCTGTTGTACATAATCCAGGTATATGAAAGGTATCCTCTGTAGTGCTCGAGTTACACACACGTATTTAACTTACGACTTTGTATATTAATATCATGTTGTCCTGTTTTCTGTGCACTGACTTGGAGGTGGTGAGGGATCGTTCAGCTTCCCGCATAGGCCCAGACTACTAGACCAGCCAGCCACGACATTCCCCTCGTTTACCATCCTTCAACAGTGTAGGCCATTGTACGATGAATCTGCGCGACATGGTTGAAGTTCAAACGAACCCACTTGTAGAATTCAGACACCTACCGATCTGCAATATACCGGAGGAGTTTTCCTGAGAGCGATAATCTCTTGACTCTCGCAAATGACTCTATGTAAATAACCTGAGGCGCCTTGAGACCCAGAATCTACGCAAAAAAAGGTTAGCCTATAGTATATATGATCCAGGACAGAGTATACCTTATTGAGAATGACTGGAAGGCATAATGTGAAGCATGTTCCTGGACCATTCACGATCAGGACATCCGCAAAAGGGTCGCCGAGGATAGCCAACAGAGTGACATGATAGAGACACGTCAAGAGAGAGCGAAACGCGGAGAATGGAGTTGTGAGCAATGGTTGATGGACTTTTCTGGCCCGGGGCACTGTTAGAGTGGTGTATTGGTTCTGAGTAGTTGGCAAGTTAGCTGGCAAGCCTGGATGTGAGCAGAGCAACCTTCTCAAAAGCTTTCCGTGACTCTAAATTGCTCGCTTTCTGAGCACTCAGCGCGTCTCCTTCGCTGATCACGTAGATCCTTGGAGTGTACCGCTCGAAATCGACTGCGGAGAGCAAGCTCAAAGCTTCGCTTGTATGTCCACCTGAGCATTGATTCAGTCATTGCAATAACACTCATCCCTGTTTAAAACTCACCAGAGCCCAGAAAAACTGCCAATTTCACGGTGGAACGAGTCCTTCTCGTCCTGTCATGCTTGTATCCAGACGGCAAAATAGCCCACACGCGACCAAGCAATGTTATGAGAATGAGTATAGAGAATATCCAGAGATACATTGAGGTATTCGTCGAGATAGGACGGGTTCGAGATCGCGAGGAGTCACCAGAAATTGCCGAACATCAGAATTGCAGCTGGTAGTCCACACTCCAGGCAGAGCCGTTGCACGTTGTCAGACTGTCAGTGCCGAAGCGCCCATGATGGTTGGTCTCTCACGCACGGACCACCGCTAAGTATGATTCATTGCCGAGCCACTGCAACCTTTGACTTGAACATTCAACATCACAGCAATGCCCTCCCCTCTCCTTTCCTGCTCAGGCTGGGGTTAACACGCGTACTCAAGCTTTCAAGGCTATAGAAACTCAGCTCTATATCAAACGATCTAGTCGAATTTCTCTATGGACTGGTGGACTCTTGCTGACAAGTCCGAAGGTGAAATGAGCGGTATTTGGGCCTGGGACTTCCAAAGCGGGACTTACGGCCTCGAAGGTTCTTCGGTCTGGGAATCCCAATCAGGATATAGTATTACTCTCTGGCACGTCCCGCAGATGAGATCCTT